AGCATAGAGTTAAATAAATCGCAGAGATAAGGGAGTAGTGTTGTGGAGAAGGTTTTGTAGTTTAGGCCTGTGAACCCATCTGGGCTCGGGCTCTTGTTTGGTTTGAGGGTTTTGATGGTTTTAATTACTTCTTCTGTCATAATAGGAGTGCCTATCTGTTTAGCCACCTCTGGTGTTAGAGATTGCAGGGGTATGGTGTTTAGGTAATCCTCCACCGAGCTTTGTGTCACATCGGCCGTTGTCTAGTGTTTGGAGTGAGGTCGTATAGAGTAGTGAAATAATTTTGGAATATTTCCGCTATTTGTGCGGGCAGTTCATGGATTTGCCCATCTGCGTGTATTTAGTGTATGCATTTCTGGGTTTTCCTGCGTTTTAATCGCCTGGCTAGGATGGTATCAGCTTTGTTAGATTTCTCATAAAATAATTGTTTTGACCACTGTAGGGCTCATGCAGAGTCTTGTGACATAAATTCTTTGATCGATTACTGGCATTCTGCGATTTGGATTTTCAGAGTTCTCAGGTCTGTGAGAGATTGTGCAAGTGCAGTCAATTGAGATTTTTTTGTGCGCTGATGCAAAGCTTATTAGTTTTCTCCATAGTGTCCTTTTGCATGTCACTGAGATTTTATTTAGGGTAAAGTTCTTTTTGTATAGTTTTTGAGGAGTGGGTTTTGTAGGAGGGTTGGGTTTAATCTTTACGTCCATGAGCTAGTTACATTAGGTATGGAGAGTTACAGTGATATCAGCATGATCCAACCATGATATATTTCCTATCGTGACCGCTTGAACAATGGGCATGAGAGAGGGGGAGACCAGGAACAGGTTGATCCTGGAATAGGGGTTGTGTGGGTGGGAATAAAAAGTGTAGTCCCTGGTGGTGGGGTTTACTAGGTTTAGTTGAGAGGCGAAGGCTGCGAATAGTTTATGCGACCGTGCCATTGGTGGGAGGTTATGTGTTGTGTTGCGTGACCAGTGTCTGTCTACTCTGGATGACATGGTGGCGTTGCAGTCTCCTCCCACTATTTTATAGTGGGACGGGAAGAGTGCCAGGTGTGTATGTAGCACTTCCCAGAATGTGCTATCTGGAACATTTAGTGCGTAGATGGATGTAAAAGTGTATTTATTGGTATCGGCCTGCCTGGTAATTGTGATGTATCGTCCTTGGGTGTCTTTAATAGTCTTTTTGATGTTTAGAAGGCATGTTTTGTGGATCAATATTGCTACGCCATTCTGTTTGCCAGAGGGCAAGTTAGCTGTGTGGTATTCACGGAAGTGTCAGCTCTGGAGAGGGTATGGCCTTGATTGGGTGAAATGAGTCTCCTGTAGCAGTATTAAATCCACGTTGGTTCTATGTGCCCACTGCATAAGCTAGTGTTATTTTGTGGGATTGTTGAGGCTTTTACAATTAATGGATATGCATGTTAGGTGCGGGCGAATGGTGGAAGAGTATAGGCTATCGCCCTAGGGCGCCATTTGTGAAGGTGGTCCCATCTTAACGGGAGCCGCTACTAAGACCTAGGGGTTTTTAGGAAGGGGTGGGGGTGGAGGAGAGTTTGGAAAGGAAGCAAGAGGTATTTAGAGGCAGTAGTGGAATAAGGGGAGAATAGAGAATGAAGAGAGAGAAAAAGTGGTGTGGGAAGTGTGGGGTAAGTGGGTGTTAGATATATCACCTGGATGCCAGGATGTTTGAGAACAGAGGAGTGGACTGGTATGTCAGGGTTGGTATCACGAGCAGTTTTTGTGCATGGTGTAGGGGTGGAGATGAGAATAGTGAAGATTCAATTAGTCAAGTTTGCCCATCTCCTCCTCCCTGAATATTTTTCCTTTTATGTCTCTGTGTGCTCTGTAGTGGTCCAACGTCTAAGATACTAAGTGGGCAAGGATGCACCCTATTTCTGGGGAACTGTGGGGGTTTATCTTGTGTCCCCATGGGGTTGAAGGGGGAGTGAGATAGACTGGGTTAGCTTAGAATGATCTGTCAGGTAACAAAGGTGGCATTAGTCGATATCAGGTGTGTTATAAAATGAGGGAGTCTAGATACCGCTGCCTATCCCTAAGTTTGTTTGCCCTTTCGGTCGACATGTCTTTTTGTAATGTTTGGTTGTAGGTCCAGGTCATGGCGGTAATGTGGTGAAAGGAAGGGACGGAGAGGGGGTGGGTCAGGATGCGCCTGTTTGGCACAAGTGGTTATATCGGGTACATGGGGAATAACGCCATGGGTGTCCTGTGGCTGCAGGTGAAGAAGGGGTGGGTGGGAATTTTGGGTATGGATTTCCCTTATGTGTGGGGTATTTCAAAATACCTTTGTCAGGCCTAAAAGTGATTAGTCTTAATATTATACATTCATAGACATATATCAAATAACCTTAATTTCTGCCCAGTGTATTTCTTTCCCCCATCTACAACCTGTTGCCTTAAATGTCGAGCTATGGTCGGAGTTAGAACAACAGAGAATCTCATGGTCAGCTATCTATTCCCGTCATGGCAGCTTTGTGCATTGGATGTAATATCGCTGTGTGCTCTGCTTCTGGTGTATTTGCCATTTTTTGGCACATGGGTTGTTGGCTTTTCGACCCTTTGTACTGCAGCCCTTGTCCATTGTTTAGATCCTCTAGGCCAGGCTTCCCCAAACTCCGGCCCTCCACATGTTGCTGAACTACAACTCCCATGATTCTCAGCCTATCTATTTCATTCATAGAATCATGTAGTTGTAGTTCAGCAACAACTGGAGGGTCGGAGTCAGGCAAAGCCTGCTCTAGGCTGTCTTCCAGCAACTGAATTTTGTCATTCACATAGCCTAAATCCCTGTCATGGTGGTTCACTTTGACCTGTAGGTTAATTATGTTGGTTTTAGCCTGAGTGGTGCATGCCGTTAAGGCCTCTAGGTCTTCTTTGAAGCCTGAGATTTGTCTCTCCAACTCAGCTGCTGTGTGTGACTTAATGTCTTCTTTAACCTCCCATAGCAGGGGTTGGAGGTCTTGTTTTGTTAGTGGTGCTCGCTGGTGTTTTGAGACCTCACTGCCGTCTGATTCCGAGCTCGAGTCAGATAGGCCTTAGTTTAAAGATGGCCTCCCCTTTTCCTTTGGGGTCCGGAACATCATGGTGACTGAGGAGGCAGATCCTTCTTTTTTTTGTGTCCCCCATCGGTTAAGGGATCATGTATCTGTTAGGGCAGTAAGTTGGTATAGTTTTAGGCATTGGATGCACGATTTTATGCGCTGTTAGTGGCTGATGATTAATTCAGGGAGGGAGAGATGTGAACTCACGCATCCGTCTGCATCGATGGTCAGACTCCGCCCCTTTGCAGAAAACTTTTATAACATTAGAAACCAAAAATCAGATCATAGTGTACCTAGACATTCCAGTGGGATACTTTTTTGGCTTTTGGAATTGACCATGAGTTAAAGTCAAATCTTAGGCATGTAGAGTGTGACGAGGAAAAGGTGGAGGCTTTATGGGTAGATATCTGCTTGGGGCAAACAAAGGGAAATCAATTATTGGTTGGGATATGTTATAAACCACCTAATGTAAATATTATTGAGGAAGAACAGCTGTTAGAGCAAATTGAGAAAGCTGCAAATCAAGGTAACACGTTAATTATTGGAGATTTTAATTATCCAGACATAAATTGGGAAAGAGGGACTAGTACTTCAGCAAGGGGCATCAGGTTTTTGAATGTGTTAAATGACACCTTTATGTCACAACTAGTACAAGCACCAACTAGAAAGGATGCTTGTCTGGATCTTGTCATAACAAACAATGTTGATCTTTTAACCAACGTTCGAGTAAGGGAGCATTTGGGAAATAGTGATCACAATATGGTAAATTTTGAAATAAACTCAAAAAAGCAAAAGCAAGTGGGGTATACTAAAACATATAATTTAAAAAAAAAACAATTTCAATAAGGTTAGGGCAGCTCTACAACATATCGACTGGCATAAACTCCTTAGTGATAAAAACACTGAGAATAAATGGAAACTATTCAAACAAATATTAGAAAGGTACATTTCTCAGTATGTACCATTGGGTAATAAATATAAAAGAAACAAATTAAAATCAATGTGGCTTAGTAGAGAAGTAAAACAAGAGATTAAAAATAAGAAAAGGGTATTTAAATCATTTAAATCAGACAAATCAAATGCATCCTATTTAAGATATAAGGAAGCCAATAACGCTTGCAAAAAGGCAATTAAAGTGGTGAAACTAGAAAATGAGAAATTGATAGCTAAAGAATGCAAAACCAACCCCAAAAATGTTTTCAAGTACATCAATTCTAAAAAAACAAAAAATGAAAGTGTAGGTACACTTGAAACAGAGTTGGGTTTATTAGCTAATGAAGACCAGGAAAAAGCAGAAATTTTAAATAACTATTTTTCTTCAGTATATATTAATGAGGATCCTATGGCAAGAGATATGCAAATGATTGCTGCAAAAAACTTGCAAATAACTTGTGATTGGATAACTCGAGACAAGGTGCTACAGCTATTAAAGAAAATTAATGTAAATAAAGCTCCGGGGCCTGACGGTATTCACCCACGAGTACTTAAGGAGCTAAGTGGGGAAATAAGTGAACCTCTGTATTTAATTTTTCAAGATTCTTTTGTTTCAGGTGTTGTACCGGAGGATTGGAGGAAGGCAGATGTTGTTCCTATATTTAAAAAGGGTTCAAAATCCTTGCCTGGAAATTATAGACCTGTGAGCTTAACTTCTGTAACTGGGAAAATATTTGAAGAGCTATTAAGGGATAATATTCAGGAATTCATGGGGAAGAACTTTGTTATTAGCAATAATCAGCATGGTTTTATGAAACATCGGTCATGTCAAACTAACCTAATTGCATTCTACGAAGAAGTAAGTAGAAGTATAGATCAGGGTGTTGTAGTGGATGTGATCTACTTGGATTTTGCCAAGGCATTTGATATGGTTCCTCACAATAGGTTAGTCTTCAAACTAAAAGAAATAGGTCTAGATGAATATTCTTGTTCTTGGGTAGAACATTGGCTTAAGGATAGAGTACAACGAATTGTAATTAATGGTAAATTTTCAGGCTGGACAAAAGTGGTAAGTGGTGTCCCTCAGGGTTCTGTTTTGGGACCACTTCTATTTAACATATTTATAAATGATCTTGAAATAGGCATTGAAAGCCATGTATCAGTGTTTGCAGATGACACAAAACTTTGTAAAGTAATAAAATGTGAGCAGGATATTGCTTTGCTGCAGAGAGATTTGGATAGATTGGGGGACTGGGCACTAAAATGGCAGATGAAATTTAACATAGAGAAATGCAAAGTTATGCACTTCGGGGTTAAGAATGCACAAGCAACTTACACACTAAATGGTAGTGAATTAGGGATAACCACACACGAGAAGGATTTGGGAATTGTTATAGACAACAAATTAGGCAGCAATATGCAATGTCAATCTGCAGTTGCTAAGGCCAGTAAGATTTTGTCATGTATAAATAGGGGCATAAATTCTCGGGATGAAAATATAATTTTGCCTCTTTATAAATCGCTGGTAAGACCACACCTTGAATATGCTGTGCAATTTTGGGCGCCTGTTCTAAAGAAGGATATCATGGCACTGGAGAGGGTCCAGAGACGAGCTACAAAATTGATAAAAGGAATGGAGCATTTTAGTTATGAAGAAAGGTTAAAAAATTTAATCTGTTTAGTTTGGAAAAACGGCGCCTGAGAGGGGATATGATAACTTTATACAAATATATTCGGGGCCAGTACAAACCTTTATCTGGAAATCTATTCATAAACAGGGCTATACATAGGACACGAGGTCACACATTTAGGCTGGAAAAAAGGAGATTTCATCTAAGGCAAAGAAAAGGTTTTTTTACAGTAAGAACAATAAGGATATGGAATTCTCTGCCTGAAGAGGTGGTTTTGTCAGAGTCCATACAGATGTTTAAACTGAAATTGGATAAATATGTACAAAAACATAACATACAGGGATAGAATTTCTAATTAGTTGGGTAATAGCTGCTTGATCCAAGGAGACATCTGACTGCTATTTTGGGGTCAAGAAGGAATTTTTTCCTAGTTTGTTGCAAAATTGGAAGCGCTTCAGACGAGGTTTTTTGCCTTTTGGATCAACAGCAACAACATTTGTGAGGAAGGCTGAACTTGATGGACACAAGTCTCTTTTCAGCTTTGCAACTATGTAACTAACTATGTAACAAGGTAGAAAGACATTGGAGAGGGGGGAACATTGAGACAACCGTCAACATGAAAGAAGCCCAATGGAATTTTCATTTAAAAATCTTAAATTAGGTCTTAATCAGGAGATAGATCTTGATGGACTTATTTTGTTTTTTTCTCTTTTTTTTTTTTGCTTCCTTTCCTCTCTATGGACTTATCCCCTTCTTCAATAATCATTTTTATTATTGTTCGTATGATTCTAATAACCCCCTTATTTGAGTTTCATATTATAGGCCTTAAGAACATGTATACTCTTTCGGATATGTATCATGAGCATTATTTGTACAAGGCTTAGCATTACAGCTATTAGATCTTCTATTATTATTATTAGGTGTATTTTTTAGAGATATAGATATTTAAAAAAATATATATTTTATTATTTTTCCTATTTTATACTTTTTTACACTTTTTTATATGTGAATAATTTTTCATATTTGGTTTTCATATATATCATATACATCATACACAAAACGACAATCAGCATATCTCCATAACCAGTGTGGTATCCGGACTTCAGCAGACCGCAAGAAGCTCCAGAGATGAATATGAAGAATAACAAATACAATTAAAAACACATAAAAATCAAACTAAATTAAAAGTCCTACGCGTTTCGTCCTATTTGGACTTCCTCGGGGATGTACATAGGTAGTTCGCAGGGCCGGACTGGCCCACCGGGATATTGGGAAATTTCCTGGTGGGCCGCGGCACCTGGGGGCCGGCCGGGTTCCTGGCTGGAGCCGCCGGGCCGGGTGGCAGCTTCCCCGGTCCGGCGGCCCTGCTCCTCTCACTGCCAGGGGCGGGCTGGGCCGGGGGGCAGGGAGGCAATTGCCCCCCAGGCCGCCCTAAATTCCTGTAAGGCCGGCCGCGGCGGGCCGGCCCTTTAAATACTGCAGCCGCCTGAGCGCTCTGTGAAGAGCCTCAGACGGCTGCAGCTTCTCCCCTGTAGCGTGGCCGAGCTGCACTCCGGTCCGCGGTGGCCGGCCGGCTGGAGTGATAGGAAGGTGCACACTGAGTGTGCACTTCCTGTCAGTCCGGCAGGTTACAGGAAACAGAAACTCCTGTTCCGCGCAGAGTTTCTGTTTCCTGTAACCGGCCGGACTGACAGGAAGTGCACACTCAGTGTGCACCTTCCTATCACTCCGGCCGGCCACCGCGGACCGGAGTGCAGCTCGGCCACGCTACAGGGGAGAGGGGGTAAGAAGAGAGGGAGGAGGGAGGTAAGAAGAGGGGAGGGGAATAAGAAGAGGAGAGGGGGGGAATAAAAAGAGGGGAGGGAAGGGAATAAGAAGAGGGGAGGGGGGAATAAGAAGAGGGGAGGGAGGGGAATAACAAGAGGGGAGGGAGGGGAATAAGAAGAGGGGAGGGGGGGAATAAGAAGAAGGGGCAGCCCTATAGGACAGGGGCCAAGACAGGGAGCTCTTTCACACTACGCGCGCACACACACACAATGCATCCCTATACATACACAGAAACACAACATGCTTCCCTTACACACAGAGAAACACACAATGCATCCATTACACACACACACACAATGCAACCCTTACACACAAAGACAATGCATCCTTTGCACACATACACAGAAACAGACAATACAAACCCGTACACACACATGCAAACACACACACTTCTTTTCTTACATACACACAGAAACACAATGCATCTCTTACACTCAATGCACACACATACAGACACACACTTTGCATCCCTTATGCATACAAACACAGATTCACACAATGCATCCCTTACACACAACCAGAAACACATAATACATCACTTATACACAAATACACACTGCTTCCACTACACACAAACACACTACATCACCT